TCTTCTGTGTCTGGAATGGATGTATTCTTGAGTCTATAAGGTAACAATAATATAATAAGATAACCTTGTTTGAAATGGGTTTGGCTAAAAGAAAAAAGTAGTCTATACTACTAGGTACTTATACTATATTGACTGGGTTAAATAGAATTGCATTTCTAAAAAGAGACTAAAATACAATTTTCATTGACTAAAACTAGACTAAATCATCAGTCTTCGTCGACTAAAACTAGACTAAAATGCTCAGACTTTTAGTTGACTAAAACTTGACTAGACTAAAATGAGTATGAACGTGACTAAAACTAATAAAAACTAAAATGACAGCTTCACACAAAGACTAGACTAAAACTAAAATTAAAACAGGCCGCCAAAAACAACACTAGTCATCGTCACTGTTATTTACTCAGACTCAGGCTCCTCGGGAGATTGTTTGCTTCATTCCGAGCTTCTTAACTCTTATTCTATTCTCGTTCATCTGCATCTGTCTGTTTTATTACTATACTTGTATGCAATTGCAAATTTGGTTGTACACAATATATTATTTTTCTGAATGCTGTGTTCTCTATTTTTTTAAGTTCTTAAATATGTATTATAATATATTGATAATAAATTAGATGAGACGGGCTGAAGTACTGCATCAACCTGTTCTTTAATGTGATTCTCAATTTCAGTTTAATGCAGGAACATAGTTTTAACTTCAGGTCAGATTTATATCACATCTCACGCGTTTCAGTCAATGAAAGCCTGGGCCAGGACTTCAACTGCAAACGAGATACTGGGACACCAAACTAAAGCGAAAGTACACAACAAACTAGGGATTCATTTAAATGGCTAGCTCACTGTGATAGCTCCATCTTCGTCTGTGTAAAAACATAATAAGCGCTTGCTCTCATTGGTCGAATCCACCTCGCGTTCATGTTTGGCCCCTCCTTCCCCCTGCGCCTATACGCGTCACTTGAGCTGCTGGAGCAAACGCTTTTCTAATCTAGTTCAAGAGGAATTTCATTCAGCTTTTGCTCCGCTCACACAAGCAAAGCATCCGCTAAAGGTATGAACTATATTTAGTATAAGTGTGAGAGCGAGTCTCTGTGTTTGCTGGTTTCACACACAGTATCTTCTCTGTTGTCCAATTAAATACGATTCAAATTTGAAATAGCTTTTTAAAGATTTGACGAGTACTGGTCTATTCACTGTTATTTCTGTTATTACAATGGCGCCCTCTGCTGCACTCTGTTACTTACAAATATCTATATGTAATTGTTGCATTTTATAATAAGCCTATCGTTTTGCTGAAATATTATATTTTTGTGTGAAGAACAGAGTGGAATTTAAGTCATTTGTTTTCCATTCTTTTGTGATGAGAAATCCTAGAATATTTTTTTCTGCTTAAAATGCACGTCAGTACACTTTTCCCACGGACATGTAAATGTTTGTTAAGGTGTAAAATGTTTATTAAACATGTAAATGTTTGTTATTGGAAACCACTTAACATGCAGTAATTTCTTATGTGATTTTAAATGATTTTCCAGTTTTTTCAGCATTGAAAGATGTACATCATCAATGTATCGTGTGCAGAGATTCAGACTCCAGTGGGTTTTCTGTATGTGATTCTGCCTGTTTTACTGAATCACACCAATAATCCTGAGTGTGAGCAGAGCTGGTATCTACAGGTGAGTGTGTTTCTGTCCTCAAACTACACCATTACGCACACACACGCACACACACACACACACACACACACACACACACAATCTGATTCATTTGTTCAGGACGGGCGTCTTATACTGTGTGAATCTGAATCATGAGATCCGCTGTGATTCTGCTGCTAGAGTAAATCAGCTCAATCTCTATATCTATATCTCTATATTTAATCCTTCATGAACAATATAAATGATGCTGTAATGCTTCTTTCCTTCATTTCAGTCTCATTTCAGTCGTGTGACCGCATTCAGAGGTGAGAGAAACAGTGAAACACATCAGTGTGTCCTGATTGAGATCAAACTCTGTTGAACTGAATCTTCTGTGAACCTTCAAGTGAATCATGATGATTGTGAATGTGTTTTTCAGCGAGGAATGAAACTGCAGCGACTCCAGACTCAGGTGAGTTTCAGCTGATAAACGTCTGATTATTCACTAATAAAACACTGCAGATCTGATTCACACTCAATCCACTTTCACTCTTTTATCTCACACTGACTCATATTTATCATCAGTGTGTTTTTAAAGATGATCTGAATGAAGTGACTCTCCAGCACTCAGGTACAACATTCACAGCTTTAAACCTCTTTCTAATATTGATTAATCGTTTTAGATCAGCTGATGTGATATTTGATTACTTTTATAGATCAGCTGTGGTGGCTTCTGGCTGTTTTCATCATCATTGTTCTGGTATTTCTCTGTTTCTTGCTGCGTAAAAGGATCTTCAGGTGAGACTGATATCATCATTCACCAATTCAGTTTCTATTCATCAGTTTCAATACAATTTACCTTCATTTCAATAAATCACATGAACAGTTTAGATCTGAAACAGATGTTGAGACATTTGCTTTATAAAGCTTCATGTGCTGCATCTATTAGGACACTGATGAAGGCCAGATCTGATGATCCTCATGCAGCGCAGGAATCTCATTTGAGATTTAATCAACATCACTGGTCATTCTTCATATCTATTCAAACAGAACGAGGCACAAAGCTGATTTCCAGAACCTTCACCGTCTCTGTTCCTCTGATCCGCAAGCCTCCGATCTGCTGAAGACATCTGAACCAAACCCCATATCTACTCGTACTGAAGTCGATTTCCAGAACCTTCACCGTCTCTGTTCCTCTGATCCGCAAGCCTCCGATCTGCTGAAGACATCTGAACCAAACCCCATATCTACTCGTACTGAAGTCGATTTCCAGAACCTTCACCGTCTCTGTTCCTCTGATCCGCAAGCCTCCGATCTGCTGAAGACATCTGAACCAAACCCCATATCTACTCGTACTGAAGTCGATTTCCAGAACCTTCACCGTCTCTGTTCCTCTGATCCGCAAGCCTCCGATCTGCTGAAGACATCTGAACCAAACCACATATCTACTCGTACTGAAGTCGATTTCCAGAACCTTCACCGTCTCTGTTCCTCTGATCCACAAACCTCCATACCATCTGCTGAAGACATCTGAACCAATCCAGAACCTTAAAAAGCACTTACCACAAACTTACCACAAGGCACTTACCACAAACAATTATTCTTTTCTGTGTTTTATTTCTGCTCTGACTTGTTTCTTGATCTAGCTTTGAAATGAACCTGTCAATTAGGTTAAAAGTGTCTGATAAATGAGTAAATGTAAATGAAAACGGTTAATTTTTAATGTTGTTTATTCACTGTATGTTTCTGGGGTATGGGGTAATAAAATGTACTCTAAATTACATAATTTCAGATTTGAATTCTTATCCTTACATTTTTATTAAACCCTTGCTATTTTTAAACTATATGTGCATATTAGTTTTGATTTTAAATGACAGTTCACCCAAAAAGGATCATTCTGCCCTCATTTATTCATCCTCATGTGGTTCAACATGTACAATTGTATGAAAGCTACGACTTGTTATAAAATTTTAGCCAGGAAAGGAAGGGGTAACAGCAGCAAACAAACCAGTAGGAAGGGCATCAGGTACACAAGCAGTTGAAACAACTGTAACAAGTGAGGCAAAATCAGGCTGTACAAAATTTAAACGAAAAACTCAGCACATTAGCATGAGAACTATCAGGACATTTTTCCCAGTCGTCTCAAAGGTTCCGGTTGAGTGGGTACAACAGTTAGTGAAAGCTGATTACAGTTTCTTAAGTTTTAAATATGGATATTTTTCTTACACGAACGCATTGCTTCTCATCAGAAGGCATTTATTAATCCCCGGAGCTGTGTGGAACACTTTTTATGATGGATTTATTAACTTCATTTTGCTTCAAAATCTAAACCCCCATTCACTACCATTATAAAGCTTGGAAGGACATTTTAATATAACTCCGACTGGATTCGACTGAAAGAAGAAAGTCATATACACCTAGGATGGCTTGCGGGTGAGTAAATTATGGGATCATTTTCTTTTTTCAGGCGAACTATTCCTTTAAACTCAAGACAATTGGATGGGTGTCTGTTATTTACTGTTTTTGGCTATTTCAATTAGAAATGAGCAGAAATCTCTTACAAGTAGCCCATGCTGTGTTTCAATCCTTTCAACATGAAAATTAAAAAAAAAAATCACAAATATTCCACAGTCTGAGTATTTCACTTTCATTTTTTGAATTAATTATTCAATTAAATTAATTTATTAATGGCTTGAATGATTTTTTAAATGAAATTTGCATAAATTATCTTTGTCATTTCGTAGGCCCTGTCCACACGAACGCGGTTTTTTTCAAAACCGCAGGTTTTTCTACGCGGTTAGGCCGTTCGTCCACACACACGCAAACGCAGCACCAGGTCACTGAAACCGAACATTTTTGAAAACGCCTGCCAGGGTAAAGATTTGAGCCTACACCGTTATCTACACAGTTATCTCCGCCTACTGGAAACGTTTTCAGGCTTCTGATTGGCCAACATGGCTTTATGGTTGAGATTATATCGCCACCTGTTGGCTTGGCATCAGTAGCGGCTCCTGACCGTAGAATTAGGTGGGGCAGATTCTGGGTCGTAGCACTAATATATGAAAAATATTTTTAAAACTTTATATTCTAATCTCTGAACACATGCGGACAACATTTTGGCAGAGATGTCCTTGCGTTATCCTGGCTGTGGGTGGCGCGCTAATGTTGATTGACAGAGAACACGCATAAAATACTGTATTATAATTGCCTTAATATAGCGTTTATCACCTCTAAATGTTGATTTAGAATGTTACAAGTTGTGGAGCAATTCGGGTGAGGAAAGGCGATCATATGTCTATTCTCAGAATAAGAATAAAACAAACACAATATAACCATAAAGGCTATTCTTGTGAGCACATTTAAACTAAAGGATTTATGCTTTGTTAATTTGATCCACTACTCCACATAGAAAAAAAAAACACATGCCAACTGACCTGTTGCAGACACATAACTGAAGCGGATTGATATCGTCTTGGTGGAGCGCGAGGTTCACGTAAGGTAACGTGAAAATAAGCGGGGCCGTCTCAAATCTGCCCCTATGGCTCTTAAGTAGAGCGCGCTGCAGTTCCCCTGTTCACCACAGATTTACGTTGTAAAAAAGTGGGGCGCTGTTGAGCTCGGGAGGTCTCAGGCACCGTCGCCCCGCTTAGTATCATGTATGCCTGCTAAAGGCATGCGCGGGATTTTAATATATACTGCTTACTTTACGATTTAAAATAGTCTAGAAAATCTGAAAAATATTTGCTGCAGAATGCTATACAATAGGACCCATATAGACGAGCCGCGCCTGTTTGGCATGCTGTTGACAGTGCTTCACAGCAGGCGTTTGCGTTTTCATGTGGACGGAGATTTTTTTTTTTTAAACGGAAGAAGAACAAACTTCCCGTGAAAATACCCGTGTACGTGTGGACTAGCCTTAATCTCCCGAATTCAGCTCTAACGAAATCCGGCTACAAGTTTAAACCGAAAGTATAGGCGTAGTAAAATACCTCTTGCCCTATGTTGACATTAGCCACGTCCTCATCATCTCCCAGACAGCAACATAGTGTTGGCCCAGATCCGGCCTTCACAGCAGGCGTTTGCGTTTTCATGTGGACGGAGATTTTTTTTTTTTAAACGGAAGAAGAACAAACTTCCCGTGAAAATACCCGTGTACGTGTGGACTAGCCTTAATCTCCCGAATTCAGCTCTAACGAAATCCGGCTACAAGTTTAAACCGAAAGTATAGGCGTAGTAAAATACCTCTTGCCCTATGTTGACATTAGCCACGTCCTCATCATCTCCCAGACAGCAACATAGTGTTGGCCCAGCTCCGGCCCACATCTGGCCCATGTGAAATCCATGCGGGCCAGATGTGGGCCGGATCTGGGCCGAAACTGTCTGCTGTCTGGGCTGTTTCACAAAGCCGACTCAGTCTAAAACCAGCTGGTTTCGGATGAGAACGCTTTAGCTTTTATCAAGTATTTTGGACAAGGATTCGCTTAAGGTATAAAATATGTTTCATATGTGTGTTTTTGTTTGTCTTGTTTTCCACAGTTTGAATGTTTCACCTTTATATTTCGATCTTTGGCTTGTAATGAAGTTTGGGTCAGTAAGATTGTTGATCGTCTGAGTTCAGCTGGAAAAGAAATACTCTGACAAAAACCTCTTTAAAACGAAATAAGTCTTTCACATTCACATGATTGCGAGTTAAAATGATATCTCTTCTGCCTTGTCACTTCTGTTTTTCTATCTCGGAACACTCCACTGTTGTGCTCTTATAAAAGGACATGGAGGACAACAACACACTATATATTCCGGCTTAGCCTACGGTGTATTTTGACTCACTGCCAGAATTTGACTGCCCTATGAGGATAAACATTATTTGTTGAATTTGTAAGAACATAATGATTTGTTTTGTATTTTTTGATATTTAATTTAAAAAGACGAATAAAATAAAAAAAATCCTACTCTATTTCCTCTGCAGAGCTTTTTGTAAGTGATATTTTCCGCCCAAGTTGCACCTAGAACATTCAAGAAAGCGTTAAGAAAACTGATCAGAGGCTTCAACAGTGTATGGTCTTTGACTATATTAGAAGCTACACTACGTTTACAATTACACTTACTTCATTGTGACTTACACTCAGTAGCCCTATGTGCAGTTAATATTATGTAGACGTGACTTATTTGCATTTTTTGCAGATATATTTTGTAAAAAATGCTGTTATGTGAACTGCATATAGAACAAGGTGTGGGTATGTTGGCATGGATGCCAGAGAGTAATTTGTATGTGTGTACTAATATGTGTGCAGGCGTATGTGCATGAACTTGCAGAGAGAGAGAAATTCTGCACCACAAATCCCACCGCTGTGTACACTGAAAAAAAAAAGAGATTAATTAAGTTCATTCATTTTAATTAATTTTAAGATAAGTGAGCGCAATCAATTTATTTGGGCTATATTTAAATAAACAAATTTTGCTGAAAGTCAACTAAATTAGTTTATTTAAATGTAGCTAAAATAAATTGATTGCAACCACTTACCTTAAAAAAAATAATATATATATTTTTTTCAGTGTAGGAGCTTTGCTGGCATCTAATGGAAAACGTTTGGGTATTGTGCTCAAAAAAATCTCAATGAAAGCTCATTTTTTGAGGTATCATCAACCTCAAAAACACAATTTGTTTAGATTTATGATTTTAGATTTTATGCTTTTCTAGCAGTTTTTAAGTTCAAGGTGTTTTCCCCCCATTTTTTTCAACAATAATCTGCCAAAGGCCTTCTTTAAAATGAGACCAAACTTCAGTTTGTGCTCTAAAGCTATATTTATTTATTTTTTATGACAGTTTAACTCTAAGGACCTCAGATAACTTTAATTTTAAAATTATGCAGGGTTAAATTAATGTAGTTAATATGTCTGTGGATGGCATAGGCCAGGGGTCTGCAAACCTTCAACGTCAAAAGAGACATTTTGGCTACTTTCCCACCAAATAAAGTTCATGTGGAGCCAAAAATATAACACGGCATATAGCTAAAGTTTTTTATTCAGTTATGTTACAGGGCAGAGGAGTAGCAAACTTTTCAGAAGTGAGGGGGACAGAAATGTCAAATATAATAATAATAATAATTATTATTATTATTATGTATGTATAATTGACAACAAAATACGACTATATACCACTAAATATGGACAATAACCAATAATTTGTCTTCTATAATATTTTTTTATATGGTTATGATTGTATAATCAGTATACTACAAACACTTTTTCCATTTTTATCACAGAATAAGGCAGAAAATATATTTTATAGCTTCTGTAACCAGCTTCTGTAATTAATGCTGTCAATTAGCTACCACTGTATCATTCATATTTATTACCTGGAGAAGACTTGAAAAACACGCATAAACCATATAGTCTTTACATTTCATCAGTTAAGGTTTATGCTTGTTATTCAGCTTAGCTACAACAATAGTGGGATGCCTTTGTCCATATTAGGGATTTACCTCCCCCGCGTATTGTACACCCACGCTACAGGGAGCCACCGCAGAGGGATGAAAGAGCCGCGGGTTGCCAACCCCTGGCATAGGCCTACTCATTTCAAAAAAGGGAAACCTGGATCCCAGTGTTGAAGGATTTGATGATTTTACTATACAATGTAACATTTATTCCAATGTGTAATTTCTATTAGTGCAATACAATCCCATGTGCTATCACAAAAACAAGAGATTTCCAGTGGGACAGTATTATTTCAGCAGTATTAATTCACCTGCCAAAATTATACTGCCATATACAAGAGACATTTCTGGCTGTAAAGTGTGATGAGAAGATTATGACTTCAAAGGGAGAAATCTCTTATGGTCACCAAAGCTACCTTGATTTGATTAACAGATATTTACAAAATATTCAATATTGTAAATTATCATTACAATACAAAATAAATATTTTGTATTAAAATAAATATTTTATTTTATATATTTTTTGTTTATACAATTTATATAATCTATTTCAAATGTACTTTATTCCTGCAATGGCACAGCTGAATTTTCCTCATGTCTTCAGTGTCACATGATCTTCAGAAATCATTCTAATATGCTGATTTGCTGCTCAAGAAACATTTCTGATTATTATCAATGCTGAATACAGTATAAATAGAAAATCATATTTTTAAAGAATTTTAATGTAACAATGTAACAGTCTTTACTGTCATTTATAATAAATTCAGTGGATCACCTATATTTTAATGTATGTATTTTTTTTAACGTATGTATTGCATTTCACAAGAAATACAACATTTCTTGTCAGCAATTAAATGTTACTTTAAGTAAATAAATGATTTGCTGACAATTGCCAAAGACCCATTACTCAAGTTTTAAAGCTGACATTTCTTCACTGTGCTTGGTTCTTTTACTTATTTTGCATGTACAGTGGGGAAAATAATTATTTGATCCCCTGCTGATTTGGTAAATTTGCCCACAGAAAAAAAAGAAGGGTTTATCAGTTTTATGGTAGGTTTATTTTAACTGATAGAGACAGAATATCAAACAAAAAATCCAGAAAAAAGACAAATGTTAAAAAAGATTTACATTTCAGTGAGTGAAATAAGTATTTGATCGCCTACCAACCAGCAAGAATTCTGGCTCCCACAGATTGGTTATGTGTCCATGTGGTACACAGATTAGTCATGTCACTTTAAGAAGTTACTCCTAATGTCAGCTCGTTAGGTGTATAAGACACCTTTAAGAAGTTCCTCCTAATGTCAGCTCGTAGGGTGTATAAAAGACACCTGCCCACACAATCTGTATCTTCCATTCCATCCTCTCCCACCACCATGGGCAAGACCAAAGAGCTGTCAAAGCATGTCAGAGACACGAGTGTAGATCTGCACAAGGCTGGAATGGACTACAAGCCCATCAGCAAGAAGCTTGGTGAGAAGGACACAACTGTTGGTGTGAATATTCGGAAATGGAAGAAATACAAAACAACCATCAATCGCCCTCGATCTGGAGCTCCATGCAAGATCTCTCCTCATGGGGTAAGGATGATCATAAGAAAGGTGAGGGATCAGCCCCGAACTACGCGGGAGGAGCTCGTTAATGATCTTAAGGCAGTTGGGACCACAGTCACCAAGCAAACCATTGGTAACACACTACGCAGCAATGAACTGAAATCCTGCAGCGCCCACAAGGTCCCCCTGCTCAAGAAGGCACATGTACAGCCCTGTTTAAAGTTTGCCAATGAACATCTAAATGATTCAGAGAAGGCTTGGGAGAAAGTGCTGTGGTCAGAGATCTGCACAAGGCTGGAATGGGCTACAAGACCATCAGCAAGAAGCTTGGTGAGAAGGACACAACTGTTGGTGCGATTATTCGGAAATGGAAGAAATACAAAAATAGCCATCAATCGGCCTTGGTGTGGAGCTCCGTGTAAGATCTCGCCTCATGGGGTAAGGGTGATCATGAGAAAGGTGAGGGATCAGCCCAGAACTACACGGGAGGAGCTTGTTAATGATTTTAAGGCAGTTGGGAGCACAGTCACCAAGCAAAACATTGGTAACACACTACGCCACAATGGACTGAAATCCTGCAGCGCCCGCAAGGTCCCACTGCTCAAGAAGGCACATGTACAGGCCCGTTAAAGTTTGCCAAAGAACATCTAAATGATTCAGAGAAGGCTTGGGAGAAAGTGCTGTGGTCAGCTGAGACCAAAATTGAGCTCTTTGGCATTAACTTGACTCGCTGTGTTTGGAGGGAGAGAAATGCTGACTATGAACCCAAGAACACCATCCCTACAGTCAAGCACAGAGGTGGAAACATTATGCTTTGGGGCTGTTTTCCTGCTAAGGGTACAGGACGACTTCACCGCATTGAGGGGCAAATGGACGGGGCCATGTACTGTTAAAATCTTGGATGAGAACCTCCTTCCCTCAGCCAGAACACTGAAGATGGGTCATGGATGGGTCTTCTAGCATGA